GAAAAGAGTATCACATCTGCAAACTAAACACCATTGTTAAAAATTCCTCGTATTGTATCGTAATCACACCATCTCGATCCGCGTCCTTGTCTCTGAAATTACATAACTTATGCCTCTAACGGAATAAAAAACTAAAGTCCATTAGATTTTACGGGAAATGATATTTCACACTCTGGATTACTACTGAGATTAAAATGACAGAAGTCAACTGCTTGTAAAATACAGAAAGCGCGCAGACACCGCTCTAACGCTAAGATGTCCATTTTTTTCGATTTGAAATTTGGTGTGCACTCACACCGTATGCATTGAAATCCTTTGCTTAATAGGCGCCTTTATTTAATCGAAGATTCATGCAGATAGGGGACTTTGACCAAATAAGCTCAAAAAAGTAATATATGTGCGCAGCATAAAAATCAAAAAAATAGAGTAGTTTGCAATTGAGAGATTAACGTAGTCAAAATTTGTTGGTTTATTACTTGTTGTTAAATTTCATGCTATTGACTCACCTGAATGCGGCAGTGAGAGTCTGCAACACCACACATAATTGGATAAAATCATCGAAATTGATGTGTCCAGTATGTGTTCGATCAAACTTCAACATTAGGATGTTGTAGAACTGGTCGGACAAACGATAACCTAAACAATAACAATCAGCAAAGAACATTAACAGATGTGTGAGTAGATGGTTTACCAAATCTAGAAAGAGCATTCTGCAACTCTGACTTGTCAATATTTCCGCTATTGTCTAGGTCAAAGCCACGAAAACAGTTCGTCCATTCGTTAATGTAATTCCATAGAGCCTAAACAATAAGTGCACAAAATTCAACATGAAAACGTAGTATTAATATTCTCATTGAGCAAGGTTTCAGTGATCTATACAGACTCATGACAGGTTGCTATTAGAAGCCATGATCCTGGAAAGATTGGTTACTAATGCACAATTATAGCAACTCCCTCGAAACTTCAAGGAGTCCCATTTACTACAAATGAGATCAAACTATGAACAAACATAATTATCGGCTTACAGCAAACACATCTCATCTTACACGAACACATTTTTTCGGCGCAATGCTCGATTACATTGCTGCATGCTTATAATCACATTTCCTCATTAAAAATGAGAAGAACAGAAAAGCTTGTTGGCGGATGTGACCACATTGCTAAGAAAGAAGTGTTATGATAAACGCGA